CCTCCTCCATGTCCCAAAATTGAGGGACAATCCACATCGGGTACGAAAGATACAAACTTAACTTCGATGCCACCACCGCCACCACCAAAGCCAAATGAAAAAAACGATCATAATGATCAACAACAACAACAAGATGATGATGAAGATCCCTTCTGGGATGAAGATGAATTAGATGAAATCGTTTATGGGGACGATTTCTAATTTTTATTTTTTAAATTTTATATAATAAATATTTTATTTTTTCTATCAAAATTTTACCAGATGCTAAATCGAATGGTCTTCGACGAAACAAAAAATTGTAGCAGAATCTTCATCTGTATCTGAATTAATTTCATTGTTCGATTGCACAAAGAAAATTTTAAATCTTTATAAATTTCTAAAATCACTAAAATTGAAAATTTTTCTTCCTTTTTTAGCGGTGTACTGGTGTTTGTGAAGGGCTTGTCTCTGAGCACACCGTCACCTGCTCATATCACAACACTATCATCATTTTTGAAGATAGTCAAAACGTGATCAAGAAACTAAACGGTTGCCAGAAAACAATTGACGTAAAAGTAAAATTCACCACTGATTGTAGCAATACTGGCCTGATCAAAATTTCATTCATCGGAACTAAGGAACAAATCGCTGATCCACTAATCAGAATTTTAATTATTAAAATCGATTACAACAATGCACAACAAGAACAAGATGATGAACCATTTTGGGATGAAGAAGAGTTGGACGACATCGTTTTTGGAGACGATTTTTAATCTTTTCATTTTATTTTAGAATTTTTCCTAATTCTTTTTCTTAATAAATTTTTTATTTTTTCTAACAAAAAACAACCTAACCTCACTCAACTATAAAATTTAGTCATCAACCTAACCTCACTCAACTATAAAATTTAGTCATCAACCTAACCTCACTGAGCTTTGAGTCATAGTCATTGTTCTTTGTTGTATATGATTTATTTCAAATGTTTGTTTGAAATTTTAATTGATTGAAATAAACTTATTAAGTTATCGAACACCAGAGTTTTTGTGTATAACTTAGAATATGATTTGAAATTTTAATTAATTGAAACAATTAATCCATTCAAACAAAAAATATTGCAACAATTGATTGAAAATTGTATAAATTTGACAATATTTTCCTTACGATCATGTTATTTTTCTTACACTCCGATAACTGTTATTAAAAGGAAATCGAATCTTTTTAATACTTTTTAATACACTAATACCAAAAATGTATTCAAAACCTGCATTGGATTTTGTACAGGTGACGGAACTGATTCGTGTCCGGCGAGATGGCTCATTTCATTATATTCATAGAAATTCATTCTCCGATTGTGAATTGCACTTCAAACACAAATCGGATTATTGGCCAGAAGAATTCTGGCACACAGTACCGTATCATGACTGGCCCAAAGATGGGTCAGATTACGCTATCGTAATCGGCATACAGCAACATCAACAACAAATACAGTATCACAGCATCCAATTGGATAAAGTTGATTTCATCAATTCCATGGATGAAAAAACAATGATTATTAATGTGCAAGAATATGAATACCATATTCAATTTTCTGGTACCGATACAATACGCATTTTATTTGAAATTATATTCACAAAAATCCCATGTTTCTATTGGGATACTATCATCACCAATGTAGAACAGAACATTTTCTGTTTATTGAACAGAAATTATTCTAAACCAAAACCGTATATTGAAGATTTAGAAAATGATGATGATGATGATAATCAAACTTTTGCATTCATCCCTCCACCCTATCCCATAATTGGAGGGCAATCTACTTCTAAATCCTGTATCAATTATGCACAAACCATTCCACAATCACCACCACCGCCACCAACATCTGAAATCGATCAACAACAAGACGATGATCCCTTCTGGGATGAAGATGAGCTTGATGAAATCGTTTTTGGCGACGATTAATCAATTTAATATTTTTATATTTATATTTTTCAATAAATTTTTTTTTAAACATTTTTAATACAAAATTTAATTTCAATTTGCACTCTGAATGTCAAATTCGTTTTATGCAACAATTTCAAGATTTCAACTATCATTGGACAAAATAAATTACATACATTCACTGGATTACTTGACAGTGATTTTCAATGCCAACAAATTCGAATACACAATCCAATTTTCGAGTGAAGAAAAAATGAAATCAATAATCAATAAAATATATCAGACAATTCCATGTTTCTATTGGGATTTGATTATCACCAATCCAAAACATAACATATACTGTCTTCTAAATCGTTATCATTCGAAATGTAACTATTCTGATCAACTTGAACAACAGCAAGACGAAGATAATGATTGAATTTTATTCATATTTCAAATAAATTTTTCTTATGTTTTTTTTTCTGAATATTAATTCAATGTTCAATTTTTTATATAAAAATCCTCATCGAAATCAACAACTTATTCAACTCCCGAAATACCGATGATTTCGATACCGCAACCTGCACCAGTAATCGAGAATATTGATTACAACAATGAAGCAACTGATAATGATCAACAACAACAAGATGACGATCTGGGATTTCGGGATGAGGAGGAACTGAATGAGATAGTTTACGGTGACGATTTTTGATCTTTTTTAATTTTTCATATTTTTTATATATTCCATGATAAAATTTTCTTTAAATAAAGCATTTTTAATAGAAATTTTCTTGCAATGCATGTACTCTGAATGTCAAATTCATTTTATTCATTCAAAATGTAACGATTTCAATCAAATTGAACAACAGGAAGGCGAAGATGATTGAAACAAGAATTTTATTCATCTTACCGTCAAATGGGTGGTCATTGCATCAATTAAATTTAGATTGCAGTGTGTATTGAACTGCGCGTAATCAGCACCGATGACTTGTGGTTGTGTGAAATGACCACAAGTCATCGGTGTTGGTTGACAGTGCTCTTTGTTTATAAAGATTGTTGAGAATAACAATAAAATGTTCTTCTTGTCCTGTGTTATTGTCGTGTGTTTGTCATATACTTCTGGTGTCAGGATAACAAACATGGAAAGCGTTAATTTGTCAGCGATCCGTCGAGAGATCACGATGATTTTCAATAAAATATCGAGTCGTACACTTCTAGATTTACTTTTGTCATATACTTCTAGATTGATTAATCAAATTTATTGAAAAAATTACTTAATCCAAACGGAAAATTTTTAAACAATTGATTGAAAAATTGTATAAATTTGCTAATGTTTCCTTAGGATCAACTCATTCTACACTACGAACTTATTTTAAGATTGAATCTTTTTTTCATCACAAAATTGAATCAAAATTTAAAATCTTAAAAAATGGAAATGCAAAACAAACAACATTTCGACGTGGTAAAAGTATGGGAAATGATAAAAATCCCAGGCGAAAGTGGATATCAGGCCACTAATTCATGGAGTGATTGTCCGATATATTTTATTCATGTATCGGATTTTTGGACTGATGAGCAACGAAAATTTGTTGCTTATCATCAATGGCCTACTGATGGCTCAGACTATGCCATCGTCATTGGAATTCCACAGCAATTCCAACATTATTATGATTACAAAAGCATACCCATGAATGAAGTAAATTATATTCATTCAATTGATCATCGAACCATTATTATCAATGCACTGAAATTCGAATGTGCAATCGAAATTTCAGATGAACACAAATTGGCATCCATATTCTATACGATATATGGAAAAATCCCTTGCTATTATTGGGATTTAATTATAACCAATCCAAATCTAAATAGTTTTTGTTTATTAAATAGAAACTATTCAAGATTGAACAACAATGATCAAGTTGAACCCGATGATGATGATGATGACGATAATAATATTAATTCAATTCGATTGCCACCACGATCAATTCCAACAAGTGGTGGACAATCTACATCGGCATGCACAACATATTCGATGCCGCCACCAACAACAGAAATGAATGATCTGATTGAACAAACAGAAATCATGATCATCGATGATGGACAAAATGAAGGCCAATTCTGGGATGAAGAAGAATTGGATGAAATTGTATTTGGCGACGATTTTTAATTTTTTCTATGTTTCTAATATTTTCTAATAAATTTTCTTTAAAAATTTAAATTTTTGAAATATTTCTTTTACGCCTACACGCCTTCACTTATCTTATCTTGAGTAACGAATGAAGTTTTCTCAAAAATTGCAATAAAATTGTACGAGTAAATTGTGCGCATATTATTTTCCAAAAAAAAGTTGTGATAATATTTTATCTTATCAAGCACGTGTGATTATTGTTGTGGATCCCTGATTGCTGTGATGAAGAAAAAACAAACATTTGGAAAATCCTAGCGCTGAAATATCAAACTAAATTGAATCGATCACGATCTCATTCATTTGCCACCATCAATAAGAATTGGTGGCCAATCAACATGAAATTGTTGAGTTTTTATACTTTTAATATATTTTAATAAATTTCTTATAAATTCAATTTGAAAAATTTAATTGTTCGATCGTATGTTGCAAAATATAATTATTCTTATAATTCAATTAATTAATTAATGCTTTGGACGTTGTTTAATTCGGTGAGAAAGTTCGTATCCAGAACAAAGAATATCAACCTACAAATGCATGGACTGAATGTCCATTTTACTTTATTCACGAATCCGATCTATGGCCACAACATCAGCGTCATCATATTATGGCCAAGAGATGCATCTGATTTTGCTATTGTAATTGGCTTGAAAAATAAATATAATCAGATCAATTACAAAACAATTCGAATGAACGAAGTGGATTACATTCATACATGTAAAATTAAATCTGAAAAAAATAAAATCAACAACAATATTAATAATCTGATGATAGTTGAAAAAATTTTGCTAAAAAAATTATTTTTATAATTTAATTTAATAAAAAACAATCATTCAATTCAAATGAAATATCATATTGTTTAAATGGATTAAAAAATCGTATAAATTTGAGAATGTTTTCCATAAGGTTGAATCGTTTTAAAACAATCCGAAAATATTAAAAGTATTGAATCAAATTACAATACAATTTCATTTGACAAGCAATTCCACAAACAATTTAAACAAAAATTATAATAAAATGAATCACATTCCAATTATTGACATTATCAAATTTGGCGATAAAGTTCGAATCCGTAACGGAGAATATCAGCCGCGAAATGCATGGATTAATTGTCCATTGCATTTCGTTCATGAATCCGATTTCTGGGCGCCGGAACAGCGCCATCACTTGGATTGGTACTTATGGCCAAAAAACGGATCTGATTATGCTTTCGTAATTGGATTAAACATTGGATATCAACAGATAAAATACAAAACCATCAAAATGAATGAAATAAATTTCATTCATACTTGTGATCAAATCACAATCAAAATTAACACGATTGAATTCGAATATTTATTCGAATTTACCAACCCTAGAAATGTAATGAGAATATTCAACTTGATTTATTCAAGAATCCCATGTTTTAATTGGGATTTGATCATTACAAATAGCAATTTGGGGAATTATTGCCTGTTGAATATTAATTATTCAAAAATTCAACCCAGTGATTATGATGAAATTGAAGATGATGATGATAATGAAATTAATGAATTCCCCTATGTACCGCCATCAACACCAAGAATTGATGGTCAATCCACTTCGAAATCAAATTTTTAAAATTTTCATTTTCATTTTTTATGTTATAATAAATTTTATTCCAAATTCAATTTTTCTTTCAATCGACCGTGAAACAATTTTGTATTGCATCTTATGAACGAATTAATTTTATTCATGAATCAGAACTAACGATATCATTTAGATTGGCGCATCTTTGGCCAAAAAATGGCTCGGATTACGCCATAGCAATTAGGATCAAACATTTTTGAAAAAAATTGTTATTGGCTATTGAATTCCAATCTTTTCAAACCCGTAGATGTTCCTAAACAGAAATCTGAAGAACAAAAAGCTGATGAAGAATATAATGAATGGGTTAAAGAATGGAAAAATGGTTAAAATTTCAATTTGTCTATCAATCAATCGCAATGAATGAAATAGATTTCATTCACACATTGGAACCGACAATAGTTCGCATAAATATTATCAAATGCGAATATTCGATTGAATTTTCCAATGTGGAAAATGTGATAACATTGTTTGATAACATATATAGAAAAATACCTTGCTTCAATTGGGATTGGATAATCAGCACTCCAATAACCAACGATTATTGCTTATTGAACATTAATTATTCAAGAAATATTGAATACCAACAAGAAAACCAAGATGATGATGATGAAGATGATGAAATTTTCACATATATTCCGCCACCAATGAAAAGAATTGGTGGCCAATCAACTTCTAAATCGAATTTTTAAAATTTTTTAATATTTCAATAAATTTTTTTTAAAATATAATTTTATGAAATTTTAAATCCAATTCCGGAGCAATACTGAAGCTATCCTGTAATATTCCACACTGTCAAAAAAGTACGGGGGCCAACGTCGCGCATGCTATTTCGTTAGATTTGAATGTGCCTTATATAAACGAAACAAAAATTCAATAAAAATTCAACAAGCATGCATTTGCAAAACACGTGCGATTAAATTTTGGGCCAGAAGAATTCTGGAATACGATTCCATTTCAAATTATGCAATTAAGTGATTACAATTCCACCAAATTAGTGACCTGTTGAATGAATTTGATTTCATTCATTTGAGGGATCAATCAAAATCAACATCAATCAATATGAATTTCTGATATAATTTTCTGACTATTTCCTGTAATGAATAAAATCACAACTCGAGCGACATCTATTGACAATACTGTAAAGGTCATTGTTCAATTTCTGTTTAATTTTTTTCAATTATTTGAATTAATTTTGATTAATTCAAATAAAATTTGATTATTTAATTAATAATATTTAAATTTACAAATTTTCCCTGTATAAATTTAGCCATGTTTTCCTTAAAATTGAAACTGTGTTTCAAACAATACCAATAGATGCGTTTTGAATCATTATCATCCAAAAAAAAATTTAGAATGGAAAACTACAACAAATGGGATGTTGTTAAATTGTATGGAAAGAATTTACAGCCAACTAAAAATTTGGCGCCTAATTTCCTATGCACGGAATGTGATTTGCATTTCATGCATTTATCGGAATTTTGGCCGGTAGAAAACTGGCATAAAATCCTCACCCATAATTGGCCATCAGATGGTTCAGATTTTGTATTTATGATTCGAATTAATCAACAAAACAAATATCAATATAAATGCATACGATTGGATGAAATCAGTTATCTCCATTCAATCAACGATCAAACAATTATATTCGAATTAAATGAAAAACATCCATATGAATATTCTATGGAATTTACAAATGCCAATAAAGTTCGACAATTATTCAGAACAATATATGATGAAATCCCATGCTTCAATTGGGATTTAATTATAACTAATCCTGATCACAACAGCTATTGTCTGTTGAATAAAAATCATTCTAAAATTATTAGCGATTCGGTTAATGAAAAACCGGTGGAAAATGAAGATGATGACGATGATGATGATCCAGTCATTTATATACCACCAAAAGTAAAACGAACGGATGGCCAATCAACATCGAAATCTTTATAAAAATATTTTTTCTCAATAAATTTCATAATTTTTCTTTACAAAAAACCAAATCAAATCTAACGAATTTTTCATTTCGAACATTGATTTGATTGATCGATTTGTTCGCCATCTATTGTCATTCAATGTGGTTATTTTCTTGTGTTTTTATCGGAATCGAAATTCCTTTGTTTCATTTGATTTGGTGATTATCAATCATCAAATGGATTATTTGTCGGAATCCAGTTGATGATGATGATCAAATGAGTGGATACCACCGGTGAAATTCAGATAAAGCAATTTTTCCTGAATTTTTTTTTCGGTTGTTGCATGATGATGATGGAAGTAATGTGTGAATGAGTGATGATTGAATCAATTTATAAATAGCATCCGCATTTTTTTCAATTGTTGGCCATCAAAAACAACAGAAGTTATGCAGACTACCAGCAGTTATTTTTTCTCTATTCGAAAGTGATGAAATGTTTGGCCTGATTCTTGACGATGATGATCAACAGCTTTGTTCTGCTGTCACCCAACAAGCAAAATGAAGAAAAAAACGAATAAAATTCTGTCGCAAAGACAATCCTACATTGTTTCGCATGATGATGATGCGGCGGCAAAGAAGCAAATAAACATCATCATTTCAAAGACCAACCGAATATTCTCTTTACAATATTGTACTGCTCATCAACGATTATTCGGCGATTGCATTCTTCGGAGAGCCAGCAAAAAAAACAACAAAAAATATTAACGGAGGAAGAAGAAAAAGAAAACGAGAAATAACGGTGCAAGAATGAGTGGCGAGATTGTTATTACCAACAACGTAACGAAAAAAAATCAACTCTTTGATTGTGTGTGCGGTGTGTGTGTGTGTGCCTTATTACCACCCAATCAATATTCAATAATAAAGTTATCGTTGTCTATCTGGTGTGATCGATAATCATCATCATTGTTATTTAGTTGTGATTTACCGAGAACTTTTCATTCATTCATCACAGTGTGTATAGTGCCCTCAACATAGTGTTCAAAGTTTCAAAATTTCAATACAAACTGCGATCATATTTTCGATTGTCGGAAATGTTGATCGTTTGCTCAATCTGAAAGATGAATTCCATTTTTTTCGTATGACCATTGAATTAAATCAGTGAAAAAATGTCTCGAGCTGAAATAGAAATGGCTCCGACCTTTACGGTCAAACCAAAAATTCGTGAAGAGGATGATGGTAATCGTTTGGTATTTGAATGTGAATTGAATGCCATACCACAACCAGAAATCGAATGGTATAAAGATAATGTTTTCATTCGTAATGGACATGAATTTCGCATTACATATGGCATTTATCCCACAACCAAACCACATCATTATATCGCTACATTGGAAATGAATGATGTTTATGAAACCGATGCTGGAATGTATCGAATTCATGCGAAAAATCTGATGGGCGAAGTATCCGCTTCTATCAAGCTCAATTTTGATCGTAAGTATGATGACCAACCAACCCAAACATGCAATAATTCATGAATGCCGTCATCATCTGCATAGACGACATTCCTTCAGACAGAATAAGCTAAGAATAGTAACATCAACATTACTAAAACAGAATTCAATCCTTTCCCTTATTGTTGTTGTTGTTCGGCATTTCAACATGTGCGATTCACTACATTCATTCCAAATACCAAATCTATTTTGAGAAAGGATTTCATCAAATTATTTCACTTAGTTATCACAACAGTAGACAGCATTATAAACTTGATCCAAAATTATTAATTAGTTACATCAGATGCTATTGACAGACAAAAATTGATTGATTGATTAATTATATACAAAAACAAACAAACAAAACAAAACAGTAGCAGTGATTGATAGATTAGATCACCAGCATTGCTCCAATCACCCAAATGATTAATTAATCCATTTTTTTCTTCATTTTTCATACAGCTGCCGATCAACCTAAATCAAGGTAAGTGATATGGATCATTTTTAACAAACGATAACAGTGGTACCATCTGTTGTTCGTATCAAATCCTAAACAAGAAATTTTGTGAATTTTGATTGATCATCACCAGACGGCGTTAGTTGAAATTATTCTGTTCTGATGATGAGGATGATGATGATGATGGAATGTATGTCATTGCCTAATCATCATCATTATTACACACACATCCTGTTGTTGTTGATCAACAACAATAATAAAAAATAAGATTGCGAGGGCCAGAATTGGCTAAAAATAACGTGATCGAATTTAACGATAACTAACTCAATTCGAATCGAAGCAATGAAAATAATACGGGATAAAATTTGTGTCATCAAAATGAAAAAAAAATTTTATTTTTTCGAAAACAAAATTTGAAGAAATAAAAACCGAAATCGATCAGTTTAAAGTTAATCCTGAAAATAATCGACAGAATCAGGTTAAAATAGCCAGGCAATCAGGAATTTTCCACTGCTTTTTTCCATCATCAGATTTATGGTTTTTTTGTTTGTTTGTTTGTGATTTGTTCTCGACATAACTTGATTATGATGCCGACTTAATGAAATAACAAAACGATGATGATTACCATAAATATATTAACAAAATTCTTGGCTCGAATCAAAAGAGTTGTTGTTGCGGTGTGGAATCTGACAACAACAATGAACCTGTAGTGCATAACGAGTTTTTGACTTGATTTAGAAAATTTTTTCCGAATTTCAAATAAGTTACGGTTTTTTCGATTTTTGAAGGACAACACAGGCCGAATCAAACGGGTGAAGGTGAATTTCTCTTTCTCACATTCATGGTAATCATTCTTTTTTTTGTGATGATCTCGTTTTTAGCCAAAATTCCTTATTTTTTCTTTTAAAATTCGTTATTCGTTATGGAAGCTCGTTAGCATCCATTTTGACTTGCCGTCATCATCACAAAGTTATTATTAATTCATAACTAAGGGGGAAATTATCCTCGTTATTAGAATTACGCTCGCCAGCCAAATTTTTTAGGCCTGTGTGAGAACTGAAAATCCACCTAATAGTGATATATCCTACAAAACGAGCTGTTTTGAAGAAAGAAAATTCCGGGCGTCACAAAAACATCAATCAATGTTATTGTTGCGTGCGTGTGGTTGGTTGACAGTTATTCGAATCGCAAGTTTTGATTTGAATATTGTCCGTTCATTTTGAAGAAAAAATTGTTTGCAAATAAAAAGCAAAGATAAGATAAAAATGCATAAGACTATGACGCCATTCATTCATTCCGCATTAGAATCGTCCATTGCTTGATAATGATGATGAAAAAATGTTGCTATTTTCGAATCGATTTCACATTCTTAAACCAACGAAATAGAGATTTTCTATTTCGGGATTGTGCCCGAAATTGTCTAAAAAATGCTGCAATTCTTTACAGTAGCGGCTGATTTTGACCGCCCAATTTACTCTACAAATCTTGATGATGCACTAACAACCTTAACAGTCGACAAATTCAGCATAGAGAAATGAAGAGAGGCGTCGAATGGAATTTCAACTTGATTGAATGAATGTTTGTTTAGGTGAGATTGTCGTTTGTTGCTGCCAATATATATTTAATTCTTCACCCAAAAAACCAAGGGCGATAATAATAACTTAAAGTGGGGAAGTGGTGTTTGAAAAATGATGTTTACCTTTTGCGATCAAAGAATCCGAATTTGGAATCAATTTAGTCATGACAGTGGTAGTGGGATCATCTCCGCATACAGACTTGCTGACGCAAACAGAAAGAATTTGTGGTTGGTGGTTCTAGCAGCTATCCAGCTCAGCGGTAAAGCAAATTCTTACCTAACGAAAAGTATGTTTGGGGAAAGATAGACAAAAAAAAACTATGCCAATGATGGTTTGTTAAGGAAAAAAAGAATGCCAACTTATTTACTTGATGTGAATAAGTGCCCTCTTCTTTCGTTTCACCTTAATTCTATTCATTTGCATCATTTAATCGTTGCGTTTGTTCGGTGTTTCTCTGTGTGTGTGTGTGCTTTAGTGTCCATTAAAATAATCTCTACCCTCTCAATCATTAATTAATGATCAAAACATCATTTGAACCAAATTATCATTCTTAATACATTTTTTCATCAAAATTCTTTCATCATTATCATTTCACAGTGTGTGTGTGTGTTTGTGTGTGTCTAAATGTGCCTTTCTTTTCTTCGTCGACAACAACCACAACCCATCTATTCATCCATCGATTCAAAATCCCATTTTCATTAATCCATTAAACATTTTTTTAACAGTGTAATCAAAAAATTGATAATAATCGTAAGTTGTTTGATGCAAATAACAATTTCAGGCAATCAATGGTTGTATGGAGAGAGAGTAAATATTTTTTAAAAAATTTTAGCCATAGCCAAATATGTTATGTTTACATTCAAAAAAAAATTGTTTGTTTGTTTGAAATTAGATTCTATGTTTATTTTAAACCAAGCTAAAGCAAAGAATCGCAAAAGGCAAAAGAAAAGTTTTTTTTTCTAATTTCGTCTTTCGTTGTGTTTATCAAAACAAATAGAAAAAGTGGAACCCATGCTGCCATCTGGTGGTGCTCAATCCTAAAGCGTCCATTTTCTGCAATTTCCGATTAATTGATTTGTTTTTGTTTATTTAGTGAAATTGACGGTATTTCTCCAACATTCAAAACAAAACCTTGGATAGCCGAATTGGATAAAGAATTTCGTCGTATACATTTTGAATGTGTTTTATTATCCGAACCAAGACCNTTCTTTCGTTTCACCTTAATTCTATTCATTTGCATCATTTAATCGTTGCGTTTGTTCGGTGTTTCTCTGTGTGTGTGCTTTAGTGTCCATTAAAATAATCTCTACCCTCTCAATCATTAATTAATGATCAAAACATCATTTGAACCAATTATCATTCTTAATAAATTTTTCATCAAAATTCTTTCATCATTATCATTTCATAGTGTGTGTGTGTTTGTGTGTGTCTAAATGTGCCTTTCTTTTCTTCGTCGTCAACAACGACAACCCATACATTCATCCATCGATTTAAAAACCCATTTTCATTAATCCATTAAACATTTTTTCAACAGTGTAATCAAAAAATTGATCAAATTCATTCAAAAATATTGATAAAAATCGTAAGTTGTTTGATGCAAATAACAATTCAGGCAATCAATGGTTGTATGGAGAGAGAGTAAATATTTTTTTAAAAAATTTTAGCCATAGCCAAAATATGTTATGTTTACATTCAAAAAAAAAATTGTTTGTTTGTTTGGAAATTAGATTCTATGTTTATTTTAAACCAAGTTAAAGCAAAGAATCTCAAAAGGCAAAAGAAAAGTTTTTTTTCTAATTTCGTCTTTCGCTGTGTTTATCAAAACAAATAGAAAAAGTGGAACCCATGCTGCCATCTGGCGGTGCCCAATCCTAAAGCGTCCATTTTTTACAATTTCCGATTAATTGATTTGTTTTTGTTTATTTAGTGAAATTGACGGTATTTCTCCAACATTCAAAACAAAACCTTGGATAGCCGAATTGGATAAAGAATTTCGTCGTATACATTTTGAATGTGTTTTATTATCCGAACCAAGACCATCAGTAACCTGGTATTATAACGGCGAACTAATCAAACCAAACGGACGCCATAAAACTGAATTAGAATCCATACAAAAACATTTATATCGTTCATTGCTTATCATCGAAGAAGTTGTTGTGGAAGATGCTGGCAAATATAAAGTAATAGCCAAAAACGATCTAGGCGAAAGTAACGCGACGATAAGCTTGAATTTCGACGGTAAGTTTCTCTAGCGAATATTAATCATTTGGCTTTATTTTTCTCATTCACTTCCGCCACAGACGATTTTAAACCCGAACAAGGTGCTAAACCAACTTTAACCGAAAAACCGTTGCTCAAAAAAGTCGGTAGTGGACAAGTTCAATTTGAAATCAGATTGGTTGCCGATCCACAGCCACAAATCGAGTGGTATCATAAAGATAAATTAATCATCAAATCTGGTCAACTTGAAACGAAGAAATATCGTTGTCAGATACTAACTGATCGTCATAATCATCTGGTATCGTTGATATTTTTGAAACCGCAATCATCGGATGCGGGACAATATCGTTTTGTAGCTCGAAATCGTTTTGGTCAGGTCGAAACTAACGTTGATTTACCGTTTGGATTGGACGGACAACCAATTGTTTCGATGGCGGTAGCACCGCGTTTTCCTAAAAAGCCTACGATTAGGCAAAAAGGTAACATTCTTATATTGGAGTGTGTACTGGAAGCCAATCCATATCCAGAAATTACCTGGTATCATGGTACCAAAGTTATCAGCGATGATAGCCGACATAAAACAACACGCACCGAAACTGGTGAAAATATGTATGCCCTTGGCCTGGAAATAATCAATCCAACGTTGGAAGATGGTGGAACTTATCGTTGTAATGCAGTGAATGATAAAGGTGAATCGAATGCAAATATTGCGCTGAATTTTCAAACCGGTGATGAAGATGAAAATAAAGATGCGCCAACATTCGTTGGTAAACCACGTATCATACCAAAAGATTCATCCATAACGATGGAATGTCGTGTTAAATCCAAAACTAAAATCACAGCCGAATGGCTTAAAGGTACGACTGCAGTTGCAGCTTCCACTCGTCATGTAATGACCGTCAACAAAGAAAAACCAGATGAATATCTATGCGTTTTGGACATTAAAAATCCTGCCGGCACTGATGGTGGCACATATAAATGTGTAGTTAAAAATGAGGCAGGTGAAATTACTGCCAATCTAGCATTGAACATTGAAGGTGCACCCGAAGATGATTCGATTTATCCGAAATTTGTTGATAAACCCAGGATAATTTCGGAAAAAGATGGTTCACTGATCATAATGGAATGTCGTGTGAAAGCTCGACCAAAACCTGATATCACTTGGTTTCAGGATGGCCAACAAGTACGAGAAAGTTCTCGTATTAAACAAACAATGGTGAAAGAAAAAGAAGAAGACACCTATTTGATTCGCATGGAAATCAATGATGCCGATATGGAAGATTCCGGTATGTATAAATGTACGGTGAAAAATTCTGCTGGACAAAGTGTTGCAAATCTGTCGTTATCGATTGAAATCGTCCCGGTTATAAGTCAACGACCACGTATTATACGTCGTGAACAGCAGCAAAAAATTGTTATCGAATGTGCAGTGAAATCAGCACAAAAACCACAAATAACATGGATTCGGGAATCATTGGTAGTGCGAGAAGATTCTCGACATCAAATTGTGGTTCGCGAACAACGTAAGGGTGAATACGTTATTGCGCTGGAAATTGATGAACCATCCGAAAAAGATAATGGTGCATATCGAATGAAAGCTAAAAATGAAAAAGGTGAAGTAACCAGTGAAGATGTTATCGTCCGAGTTGATGATCAGAAAAAGAAAAAAGAAGAGGAAGAAGAAGAAGAAAAGGAAAAACGAGCTTCAAAGAAGGCAAAAAAACAAATCACTGAACCACGTCTAATTCGTGGTCTTCGATCTGAGGTAAGTTTCTGGTGACAAACTCGATTTGATTGATTTTCTCATTGATTTTTCCGAACACAGAAAGTACAAGCAGGTGAAACATTGGAATTATCATGTGAATATGAATCGGAAGAAGATGTACAGGTGATTTGGTATCGAAATAATCGTCAAATTCAAGAAAATCATCGAATTCGTATTGTTCATGAACGACGTTTAATACGAATTATTATCAAACGAATTGAAATAGAAGACGATGGTGAATATCGTGTTGAAATCAAAAATTCAGCCGGCAAAACTGAATCCAGGGGACGTGTGACCGTTGTTCAAGATCAACCTATGGATGAAGATGAAGAAGAAGATAAAGAAAATCGATTAGGTAAGAAAAAGATGAAAAAAGAAGAAGAAAAAATCGAAGACGTCGAAATGAAAGATGTTAGCCAAGATAAACCGGTTGAAGATAAACCTGTGGAAAAGCGTAAAGAATCGATTAAACGTAGAGATTCGGAAAGTAAATCGGCAGATGAACCGAAAACGAAAAAAATGATGGCCGAAGAATCGAAAGAAAAGCCCGTCGAACCGCAAGAAGAAAAACCAAAGAAAAAACTTTCAATCAAAAAACCTGCTGCTGCTGAGAAACAAGCCGAACCAACGACGGCCGAAGAAGCGGAAAAGCCTAAAAAGAAATTGTCAATTAAAAAACCTGCTGCTGCTGAGAAACAAGCCGAACCAGAAAAAGCTATAGTCGAAGAGCCGAAAGTGGAAGCTAAAAAAGCCGAACCTGTGGCAGTTGAGCCACCGAAGCCAGCCGAAGAGCCAGAAAAACCTAAAAAGAAACTTTCGGTTAAAAAACCTGCAGCAACAGAACAATCGAAAACTGCTGAAACACCAGCTGAAGAACCGAAAAGACGATTATCGGTGAAAAAACCTGCGTCAGCAGCTCCTGAGACTGCTGCAACGCCGGAAACATCAGCTGAACCGCAAGCCGAACCGGTTAAACGTCGTTTATCGATAAAAAAACGTTCATCAATATCATCGACACCGACAGCAGCCGATTCTGGTGCTTCTAGTCCGGCAACAACGGCGCCATCATCGCCGACAAGTAAAACCGCACCGCCATCATCGCTTTCAGCTCCAAGTGAAGAAGCAAAACCTGCAGCAAAACGGCCATCGATTAAAAAACCGCCTACACAAGCATCAATACCTGAGCATAAACCGATCGACGATAAAGTCGAAGAGGTAAAACGCAAAGATTCGGTGAAAACTGCAGAATCTACAGCTGCAGCCGCAAAACCACCAGCTGAAACAACAACGGAATCCACGAAGAAAAAATTGTCAATCAAGAAGAAGACGCCGAATGGAGAATTGCCTGCTGCACCTGCCGCAGCTGATAAACCGCCGGCCGAGACACCGAAAGCGGCATCGAAAATGCAGAAAGTACCATCAATCGAAATACAAACTGCAGAAGAAGAGCGACCAAGTCCGGTTAAAAAGAGTTCAGTGCGAGAGGCGGCCCGAAAATCATCATTGGACAGTAAGCCGAAAGTAGTACTAGACGATAGTGGTAGTGATAATATTAGTCGTAGAGATAGCGTCGAGAGACGAGATAGCGTTACCGAAGTGGGAACACCACGTTCATCACGTCGTCCTTCTATTGTTATAGTTGCTGATGAAAAAGGTTTGGCTGTCGATGAAACAGGGCAGATGAAAAAATTGCGACCAGGTGAAATGTTGGAAGTTCGTCGCGGATCGCGCCGTGGTTCCAATGTACAGGATTTACGTCGTGGATCATCCATTGAAATCGATCGTGCTGATAAACCATCAACACCATTACGTCCGATGGGTGATGAAGGACCACCAGTTGTTACGGATTTTGTCGAGAACGTAACCGCTATTGATGGTAAAACTGCATATGTTCAGGCTACAGTTGAAGGAAAACCGATACCGAAATTTAAATTTTTCAAAGATAATGTTGAAATATTTGAAGGTGGTCGTTATAAAGTGGTTACGGATGGCGAAACAAATACGATTTATTTTTGCATTCGAAAAGCTAAACAAGCTGACGAAGGACGGTATAAAATTGTTGCCTATAATGAACACGGTGAAGATAGCTGTACGATAAAATTGTTTGTTTCGGGTAAGTAACCAATCGTTTACCAATTGTGACTTATCATTTGTGATTTTTTCCATTAGATGAAAGTGGAATGGATTTTCGTGCTATGCTTAAAAGTAAACAATATGCAAAATGGGCAGTGGATAAAGGAGATCCAGATTGGGGTGCACTGAAAGCAACCGAAGACGAGCGACGTGCATCACTTCGAGATACGAAAAAAGTTGATGAATTTATCGAAAAACTTCAAGATCAACGGGTAAAAGAAGGTCGTGATAAACTTGTACGATTTCAATGTGTATTCAGTAAGAATGGTATCAAGGCAAAATGGTTTAAAGGACGACAAGAATTGTTTGCTGGTCGTAAATATAAAATGACCAGTCAAGGTGATTTGCACGTTCTCGAAATTATTGATCCACGTGTAGATGATATGGGACAATATAAATGTCAATGTTTAGAGAAAACAACCACAGCTGCATTAGAAGTTGATTATCCTGATCCGGTATTCAAATTTACACGACCTTTGGCAAAAAAATATGAACAATATTCGGGTAAAGAAATTCAAATGGAATGTACCACAAGTCACTCAAAAGCCCAAGTTGAATGGTATAAAGGATCACAAAAACTTGATCGTAATCATGAACATTACCTTATTGAACGTGATATGTATGGAAAACATTGGATCAAAATTAAACATTGTCGTGAAGAAGATACCGCAGACTTTACATGTAAAATTGTTAATACCGAAGAAACAACTACCACCAAATTGGTTGTTACGGAAAAACTATATATTTTTGTTAAGCCATTGCTAAGTCAAAAATGTGTTGAAAATGAAACCATCGTTTTGGAATGCGAAGTGGATGATCGGGATGCTGAAGTTGAATGGTTCAAAAATGGTCAAAAAGTAACTCCCGTGGCAAAGAAACTGGATATCGTTGCTGAAAATCGTAAACGTAAACTGGTGATTAAAAAAGGCAAAGTTATCGATGAAGCCCAATATACATGCAAAACTAATGGTGATACAACCGAATGTGAAATTCTTGTTGAACCTGCCAATAAATTTCGTAAAAAACTCCAGGATAAAACTGTTATTGAGCGTGAAGAGCTTGTGCTGGAATTGGAAATGTTGGAAAAACGTGCCCCATTAGTTTGGTATAAAAATGGTCAGGAAATGCCACATAATGATCCAAGATTTCAGATGAAATTTGATGAAATTACCGGCAAACAACAGCTAATCATTAAAAATACCGTAATGGAAGATGAAGGTGAATATATGGCCAAAGCAAAAGATTGTAAAACATCATGCAAAGTGACAGTGTTGGAAGGTGAAAAGAAACCCGAAATGTCACCCGATAAAACTGACTTTCAAGGTGATGTTGGACGTCCACTGACTATTGAAATTCCATATAAAGGTTTGGTTGAAAATGTGTGAAATTATGAAATTACAAAATTTAAATAATATTTTCTATTTCAAATAGTTGCTGGAACTAAACAATCGGACGTTGTAGCTAAATTAACTCGAAATGGTTTGCCTGTATCGGCAAAAGATGTGGAAATAGTGGTGAAAGAAGATAAAATTGTCATTACGTTTAAAAAACCATCACGTGATGATTCGGGCAAATATGATTTCACCTTGTCGAATTCACAAGGTGAATCCAAAGTACCGTTGAGTTTTAATTTTGTCGATGTTCCCGGACCGCCGGAAGGCCCATTAGAAGTAAAAGATCTGTTTCGTGATCGTTGTAAACTAAGTTGGAAACCACCAAAAGAATTGGGTGGATTGCCATTGCTGCATTATGTTGTTGAACGTCAAGATATTGGTGTACGTGGTGGTTGGACCGAAGTCGGAACAACTGAAGATTTGAAAATCGATGTCACCGATTTGGCACATAAAAAAGAATATAAATTTCGTGTACGTGCTGTGAACAAGAAAGGTGCTTCGGAACCGTTGAATTCATTGAAAAATATCATAGCCAAAGATCCATATGATGAACCATCCAAAGTACAGGATTGTGAATTAGTTGATTGGGATAAAGAACATGTCGATTTAAAATGGAAACCGCCAGAAAAAGATGGTGGTTCACCAATTGAAAAATATATTATCGAAATGAAAGATAAATTTCAATCGGAATGGGTTCAAGCAACAGAAGTTCCCGGTGATAAATTGAAAGGAAAAATTTGCGTACCGACAATCAAAGAAGGAAATCAATATCAATTTCGTGTACGTGCTGTTAACCTGGCTGGCCCAGGTGAACCAAGCGATCCGACTAAACCGGTTATAATCAAAGATCGATTTGTTAAGCCATTCATTGTTGGCGATGGACTTAAGAATATTGTCGTGAAAAAAGGTGCCAACATTAAATATGATATTCAATTCAAAGGTGAACCACCACCGGAAGTTGTTTGGGATGTTAACGATATTGAATTGAAACAATCTTCACGTGTTTCCATTGAAAATACTGAGAAAACAACATTGTTGATCATTAAACAAGCAGTACGTGGTGATTCGGGTAAATTTCGTCTGACATTAACCAATTCTTCGGGTCAATGTCAATCAGTGGCTGATGTTGTTGTATTGGATAAACCATCAATGCCACAAGGACCATTGATTGTCGAAGATATACACGCTGAACATTGTAAACTGAAATGGAAAGAACCAAAAGATAATGGCGGTACTGATCTGAAAGGTTATCTGATTGAAAAACAAGATGTTGATAGTGGTCGTTGGATACCGATTGCTGAAGTCGGCCCTAATGTTAAGGATTATAAATGTGAAGGTCTGACGAAAGGGAAAAAATATAAATTCCGTGTCAAAGCAGTGAATAAGGAAGGAGAATCTGATCCGCTGGAAACATTGGCACCAATTTTGGCTAAAAATCCTTATGATGAGCCTGGTCCACCAGGTAAACCCGAAATTGTCGATTATGATAATACAAAAGTAGATTTGAAATGGACACCACCACAAAATGATGGTGGACGACCGGTAGAAAAATACATTGTCGAAATGAAAGAGAAAAATGCACAAGATTGGCGCCAAGTTGTTGTAACTGAAGGACCAACGCCTGAAGCAACTGTACACAGATTAAAACAGAACAGTGTTGTACAATTTCGTGTACGTGCCATCAATTTGGCTGGTAATGGTGAACCAAGTGAACCGACTGAACCTCACCTGGTTAAACATCGTAATCTAAAACCCCAAATTGATCGAACCAATTTGAAAAATTTAACCGTAAAAGCTGGACGTTCACATAAATTCGAAGTGGATGTTATTGGTGAGCCAGCACCGGAAATTCGATGGACATTCAAAGATGAACGTCTGAATGATTCGGAAAATGTTAAAATCGATACGAAAGAATATCATACGGATTTGCAATTGATAAAAATGCAACGAAAACAAACGGGCCGCTATACGATTACGGCTACAAATCGCAATGGTACAGATTCGGTTACGGTCGAAGTTAATGTTCTGTCGGCACCAGGTAAACCTGAAGGTCCACTGGAAGTAGAAGATGTCCATAAAGAAGGTTGTAAATTGAAATGGAAAAAACCTAAAGATGATGGTGGTGTACCGATTGATCATTATCAGGTGGAAAAAATGGATAAAGAAACTGGCCGCTGGACCCGAGTTGGAAAAACATCGGCATCAAAACCCGAGATCGAGGTAACCGGTCTAACACCGGGTCATGAATATCAATTTCGTGTTGTAGCCGTAAATGATGAAGGCGAAAGTGAACCATTGATTACTGATCGTGGAACAGTAGCAAGAAATCCTTACGATGAGCCAGGTAAACCTGGAACACCGGAAATTGTTGACTATGATAACACTAGTGTTGATTTAAAGTGGGAACCACCAAAAAAAGATGGTGGCTCCCCCATATTGAAATATATTATCGAAAAAAAAGAAAAAACTGCCTTACAATGGGAAAAAGCTGCTGAAGTTCCTGGTACACAACTGGAAGGTAAAGTTGCCGATCTAATCGAAAGACAAGAAATGCAATTCCGAGTGGTTGCTGTTAATAAAGCTGGTCCAGGCGAACCTAGTGATGCTACCAAAATGCATACGGTTAAATTTCGTCGCCTTAAGCCATACATTGATCGTACCAATTTGGAGGAAGTCCTAACGATCAAACGTGGTAAACAATTGAAATTAGATGTTAATGTACGTGGTGAACCACCACCGAAAATCACATGGAAACTGGCCGAAAAAGTGATTGCTAATGATCAACATTATGATATTGTCAATGTTGATTATAATACCAAATTTACCATTAATGATTGTCAACGATTGCATACCGGGACTTATATGATCATTGCCGAAAATGAAGTTGGCCGAGATCAGGCACAGGTAGAAATCTGTGTGTTAGCAGCACCGTCAAGACCAAAAGGACCATTGAAGGTAGAAAATGTAACTGCAAAAAGTGCCGATGTAAAATGGCAAAAACCTGAAGATGATGGTGGTAAACCAATCAAAGGTTATTTGATTGAAAAATTAGATCCAAACACTGGCCAATGGGTACCGGCCGGAAAAGCGGATAAAGATGCCACCGATTTTACAGTTACCGGATTGCAAAAAGGAAAACAATATAAATTCCGAGTGAAAGCATTGAACGATGAAGGTGAATCTGAACCGTTGGTCTGTACCGAACCTATCATTGCTAAAGATCCATATGAGCTGGCCGATGCACCTGGTCAACCTAAAATCGAAGATTGGGATGAAAAACGTGTCGATTTGAAATGGACGCCACCTAAAAACGATGGTGGTGCACCAATCACTGGTTATGTTGTTGAAATGAAAGATAAAAATAGTACACAATGGATTCCAGTACTGGAAACTAATTCACCAGCACCACAAGCAACAGTAGAAGGATTGACCAAAGGTAAACAGGTTCAATTCCGTATAAAAGCTAAAAACAAAGCTGGCGAATCAGAACCCTCACAACCATCCTCGATGCATACAGTCAAAGAGCGCCATCTGGCACCGAAAATTAATCGTGATACATTAAAACCGATAACAATTCGATCTGGTGGTATGGCCAAATTGGATGTTGAAATTAGTGGCGAACCACCACCGGCAATAACATGGACATTTGATGGAAAGAAATTATTCGATGATATTAATACCAAAATTGATAATCCGGATTATGAATCACATCTACAGATTCGTAATATGACCCGGGCACAAAGTGGTAAATATAAAATTATGGCTGAAAATGAATCTGGAAAAGATGAAGCAGAAGTGGAAATTAAGGTTCTGGATCGCCCATCAAAACCAGAAGGCCCATTGGATGTTAGTGATGTTCATGCTGAAGGATGTAAACTGCAATGGCGCCCACCTAAAGATGATGGTGGTGTTCCCATTGAAACATATGTTGTTGAAAAGAAAGATAGCCAAACTGGACGTTGGGTTCCTTGTGCTAAAGTTGGCCCAGATGAAACTGAATGCAAAGTTACCGGTTTAGACATGGGTAAAAAATACGAATTTCGTGTCAAAGCAGTCAATCCGGAAGGTGATTCGGATTATTTGGATACTGATCGTTCAACATTGGCAAAAAATCCATATGAAGAACCTGGGCAGCCAGGTATGCCATCGATTGAAGATTGGGATAAAAATTGGGCGGATTTAAAATGGGAGCCACCAATTCGTGATGGTGGTGCACCAATTACCGGTTATATCATCGAAAAGAAAGATAAATATAGTCCAGATTGGACACAAGCTGCCATTATTGATGGAAATATTTGTCAAGGCAAAGTGAAAGGACTGCATGAAGGTGACCGCTATGAATTTCGTGTTCGTGCTGTTAATAAAGCTGGCCCGGGCATTCCATCCGAGTCAGTTGGCCCACATTTGGCCAAAACACGTTGGTTAAAACCACAAATTGATCGAACAAATATGAAAACTGTAACGGTTAAAGTCGGTCAGATGGTGATGTTGGATGTAAATGTGATCGGTGAACCAGCACCAAAAACTGTCTGGAAATTAAATGATAAAGAATTGACCACCGACGAAATCTACAATATCGATAATATCGATTATAATACCAAATTCACCATAAATCGTGCTACGCGGAAAATACGTGGAGTGTACACATTGACTGCTACGAATGAAGTTGGTGAAGATCAAGCCGAAGTAGAGATTAAAGTTTTAGGAAAACCATCCAAACCTCAAGGACCATTAGAAGTGTCGGATGTGCATAAAGAAGGATGCCAATTGAAATGGCGTCCACCCGAAGATGATGGTGGATGTCCAATCGAATGTTATGAAGTTGAAAAAATGGATGAAGAAACTGGTAGATGGGTTCCATGTGGTAAAACAACTGGCGGACCTAATGATACCAAATTGCAGGTGAATAATCTGGTTCCGGGTAAAAAATATAAATTCCGTGTTCGTGCCTGTAACAAAGAAGGCGATTCCGAAGAATTGGAAACTGATCAGGCAACATTGGCCAAGAATCCATTCGATGAACCGGATAAACCGGGAAGGCCAGAACCAGTTGATTGGGATTCTGATCATGTTGATTTGAAATGGACGCCACCTGCCAATGATGGTGGGGCACCGATTGAAAAATATTCAGTGGAAAAACGTAAAAAAGGAACACATAAATGGCTGAAAGCTAAAGAAACTAAAGGACCCGAGCCATCAGTTACGGTAGATGGATTGGAAGAAGGTGAAGAATATGAATTCCGAGTTATCGCACATAATAAAGCCGGTCCAAGTGAACCAAGTGATCCATCACGAACGGTTATAGCTAAACCACGAAAACTAGCACCAATTATTGATCGAACTAACTTGAAAAACATCAAAATTCGAGCCGGACAACCAGTAAAATTTGATGTGGATGTTAAAGGTGAACCCGAACCAACAATAGAATGGTCATTTAAAGATGATAAGATTAAATCCGATGATCATTACAAAATCGATAATGAACCATATCATACATTGTTTTTGTTGGTCAATTCAAAACGCTCCGATACGGGCGTCTATCGAATTCTCGCCAAAAATGAACATGGCACGGATGAAGCTGAAGTCGAAATCCAGGTCACATCAAAACCATCCAAACCAAAAGGACCGTTAGATGTCTCTGATGTTCATGCTGAAGGATGTAAATTGAAATGGTCACCACCGGAAGATGATGGTGGTGAACCAATACTTAATTATCAGATTGAAAAACAAGATGCTGAAACTGGTCGTTGGGTACCAGTATGTACTTCACGCGAACCTGAGGCAGAAATTACCGGTTTGATTCCTGGTCATGAATATAAATTCCGTGTTAAAGCAGTGAATGCAGAAGGCGATTCTGAACCATTAGAAACGGATCATTCAATTTTAGCCAAAAATCCCTTCACTGAACCGGATAAACCGGGTAAACCACAAATAGCCGATTGGGATCGTCATCATGTTGATTTGAAATGGGCGGCACCAGAAAATGATGGTGGCGCTCCTATTACCGGTTATATTATTGAAAAGAAGGAAAAAACGGGTAAAACTTGGAGCAAAGCTTTGGTAGTTGATGGTCCAATAACTGAAGCTCGTGTACCCGATCTGATCGAAGGTTTGGATTATCAATTCCGAGTCAAAGCAGTGAATAAAGCCGGTCCAAGTAATCCGAGTGATTCGAGTGAAGTTGTCACCACTAAACCACGACATTTATTACCGAAAATCGAAAAGATTCGTGACATAACCGTACGGGCAGGCCAGCCAATTAAACTAGATGCCAAAGTGATTGGTGAGCCACCGCCGAAAACCGTATGGTATCGTGGCACCGACGATGATAAACCACTATCGTCTGGCAAAGATCTTAAAATTGAAAACGAACCATATCGAACCCGATTAATGGTACCGAATGCAAAACGTTCGGATAATGGTGTGTATCGATTGGTAGCATCAAATCCTTCGGGTTCGGATGAAGCCGAAATTAAGGTAACAGTGCTGGATAAACCTGGTGAACCGGAAGGTCCGCTAGAAGTTGCCGATGTTCATGCTGAAGGATGTAAATTGAAATGGAAACCACCGAAAGATGATGGTGGTCTTCCCATTGAAACTTATGTGGTTGAAAAACAAGACCAGGCAACAGGAAAATGGGTGCCAGTTTGTCAAACCCAAATACCAGAAGTAAATGTATCGAATTTGGAACCTGGCCACGAATATAAATTCCGTGTAAAAGCAGTTAATCCAGAAGGGGAATCCGAACCATTAGTTACAATGGAGACGATAGTGGCGAAAAATCCATTCGATCCACCAGGAGCACCGGGCACACCTCAAGTAACCGATGTTGATAAAAATCATGTTGATCTTAAATGGGAGCCACCAGCCAAAGATGGTGGTGCACCAATTACCGGTTATGTTATCGAGAAAAAAGAAAAAGGCAGTGATAAATGGGTTAAAGCTTGTCAGGTGCTAGGTGGTGATGAAACCAAAGCCCGTGTTCCAGATCTAGAAACCGGTCATGAATATCAATTCCGTGTAAAAGCTGTGAATAAAGCCGGTCCAGGTGCACCAAGTGATGAATCCAAAATGACATTGGTCAAACATAAAAAATTACCACCAAAAATTGATCGGAAAAATCTTCGGCCTATCAAAATCAAAGTCGGACAGGAATTTATATTCGATGCTGATGTTATTGGTGAACCTGTACCAGAAGTGGAATGGAAACTCAAAGATAAATTGGTTACCGATAAAGCAAATTTGACCATAGTCAACAAACCTTATCATACGCGATTGGAATGTGATAAAGCTACTCGCAAAGATTCTGGTGTTTATCATGTTATCGCTACCAACAAATGGGGTCAAGATCAGGTGGATATTGATGTGAAAATAGTCGGAAAACCATCTCAACCTAAAGGACCACTGGAAGTCGATGATATTCGTAAAGATGGTTGTCATCTGAAATGGGAACGACCAGATGATGATGGTGGCGAGCCATTGGAAGGATATTTGGTTGAAAAATTGGATCCTGAAACTGGATCATGGATACCTGTAGGAAAAACATTGATACCTGAAATGAATGTCAGCAATTTAATGCCCGGAAAACAATATTCATTCCGTGTAAAAGCATTGAATAAAGAAGGCGAATCTGAACCGTTGGAAACATTGACGCCAATCATTGCAAAAGACCCATACGAAGCGCCCGGGCAACCAGGTCGACCAGAACCAGTTGATTGGAATAAAGATCATGTTGATTTGAAGTGGGAACCACCAGCTAATGATGGCGGTGCACCGATTGAATCCTACATTATCGAACGACGCGAGCGTGGTTCACCACGATGGATAAAATCTGCCGAAGTACCTGGTGATCAAACACGTGGTACAGCCCCGAATTTGGAAGAAGGTAAAGAATATGAATTCCGTGTGACAGCTGTCAATAAAGCCGGGCCAGGTGAACCATCTGAAGCATCCAAATCTGTAGTGGCAAAACCTCGATTCCGTAAGTTTGCAACAAAAAAATTTACACAAATTCTGTTTGTTTTGTTTTGAAAAAAATTTTATTCAATTTTATTTTATTTTATTTGATTTAGTTGCACCACGAATTGATCGCAGTGCATTCAAAGATATACAATTAAGTGCCGGGCAGAAAATATTCTTCGATGTTCCGGTTATTGGTGAACCTGCTCCAGAAATCACCTGGACAATTAATGGCCGTACAATGCCTGCTGAAGGTGATCAACATCATAAAATTGATACCGAAGATTATAATACCAAATTGACGGCTAGAAATGCTTCGAGAGGAGATTCTGGTGCCTATACCATAACGGCAATCAATAGTTCGGGTAGAGATCAGGTTACTGTGCAGGTATTGATAACGGATAAACCATCACCGCCTGAAGGTCCATTAGATGTGAAAGATGTTCATAAAGAAGGTTGTAAACTTGGTTGGAATAAACCTAAAGATGATGGCGGTATACCATTGGAAGGATATCTAGTTGAAAAAATGGATACAGATTCGGGATTATGGGTACCTATTGGTAAAACTAAAGCTACTAATATGGAAGTAACGGGACTGGTACCGGGCCACGAATATAAATTCCGTGTATCGGCTGTAAATAAAGAAGGTGAAAGTGAACCGCTGGAAACATTGAAACCGATTCTGGCAAAGAATCTGTTCGATGAACCTGGACCAACTGGCAAACCACAGGTAACTGATTGGGATAAAGATCATGCTGATTTGCAATGGGAGCCACCGGCAAGCGATGGCGGTGCACCAATTGAAAAGTACATAATCGAAAAACGTGATAAACATGGTGATTGGGAAAAGGCTACTGAAGTTGCTGGTGGTGCTAATTCGGCTACGGTTGAAGATCTAATCGAAGGACATTCATACGAATTCCGTGTTGTGGCCGTCAATAAAGCCGGTCCTGGCGAACCATCCGAACCATCCGATATGATTGTTGCTAAAACCAGACGTCTGCCACCTAAAATAGATCGTACAAATTTGCAAAAAATTAAACTGAAAGCAGGACAGGCATTTAATTTTGATGTAAATGTTCAAGGTGAACCTGCTCCAGAAACAGAATGGCGTCTAAAAGATCAACCAGTTCGAACGAGTGGTAATGTTAAAGTACAACACGAACCATACAATACTAAATTGGTTGTGCGCCAGGCAACACGTGCACAATCCGGTATCTACACTGTAAAAGCAACAAACAAATATGGTGAAGATCAAGCCGAAGTTGAAGTTATTGTGTTGGATCGTCCCGCTCCACCTGGTGGTCCTCTTCGTATTGAAGATGTTCATGCAGAAGGTGCTACACTAAAATGGCGTCCACCTGATGATGATGGTGGCTTACCTGTTGATCATTATGTTGTGGAAAAAATGGATCCTACCACAGGTATTTGGACACCGGCAGCTGAAACTATTGGTGCTGAAACTGGCGTCGATGTAAAAGGTTTAACACCTGGAAAGAAATATAAATTCCGTGTTAAAGCTGTCAATCGACAAGGTCAATCGGATCCATTGAATGCAGACAAAGAAATTATTGCTAAAAATCCATTCGATGCGCCTGGACAACCAGGTAAACCGGAAATTGCCGATTATGATAAAGATTTTGTGCAATTGAAATGGAAAAAGCCAGAATCAGATGGTGGTGCACCAATTACCGGTTATATTATCGAAAAGAAGGATAAATATAGTCCAGATTGGGTGCCAGCAGCAGAAATCGATGGTGATGTTACTACCGGTCGAGTAGACGATTTAATCGAAGGACAGCAATATGAATTCCGTGTTCGTGCCGTTAATAAAGGTGGTCCGGGTGAAGCTTCGGAATCGACTGGGCCACATTTGGCAAGGCCGAAAAATGCACCACCAAAAATCGATCGAAATTATATGCGTGATATTCGTGTTAAAGCGGGTAAAAATGTTGAACTAGAAGTACCAGTTTCGGGTGAACCGCCACCCACTAAAAAATGGACCGTAGATGGTCAACCAGCACCAGTGGATCGTTGGGTAATCACCGGTGAAGATTATAAAACGCATTTACAAATCAAATCAGCCGAACGTAAAGATAGTGGTCAATTGACGTTGACAGCTACCAATATTAACGGTACAGATACGGCGACGATTACGTTGACCGTTTTGGATCGACCTGGCGTACCAGAATCAATGCGCATTAATAACGTAACCAAAGATGGTTGTTTTGTTACATGGCAACCTCCGAAAGATGATGGTGGATCCGATATTCAACACTATGTTGTGGAAAAACGTGATATGGAAACTGGCCGTTGGACAATGGCCGGTGAATCAACATCACCTTCATTGCGTGTTGATAAATTGATCGAAGGCCGCGAATATTCATTCCGTGTAAAAGCAATAAATCGTGAAGGTGAATCAGATTGGTTGACTGGTAAGGAATCGATAATCGCCAAGAATCCATTCGATGTTGCCAGCAAACCAATGGCACCACAAGTTGTTGATGTTGATGCTGATCATGTTGATCTAGAATTTCGTCCACCGCGTAATGATGGTGGTACGCCAATTACCGAATACATTATCGAAAAGAAGCCAAAAAAATCACCATTTTGGCAAGAAGCGATTCGTGTCCCGGCTACAAAGCCAAAAGGAAGCGGAGAAGATGAGGCGGCTGCTGCTTCGGCTGCCATACGAGCTACTGTACCTGATCTAATCGAAGGTGAAGAATATGAATTCCGTGTAATTGCCGTCAACAAAGCCGGACCAAGTGATCCAAGTGACGCATCTGAAGCGGTTGTTTGCCGGCCAACTAAAGTACCGCCATCAATCGATTTGGACGCTATGAAAGATATTCGCATACGTGTGGGACGGGCAATTAATTTTACCGTACCATATAGCGGAACACCATCACCAAAAGCAACGTGGACTATTAAAGGTCAAGATGTACAACCAGGTGAAGATAAACGAGTGGAATGTGAAAATATAGCCTCATCGGCCATCATCAACATACCAAATTCGGTTCGAGAAGATTCTGGACAATATAAACTGACGCTAAAAAATCCATATGGGGAATGTTTTGCATCGGCTAAAGTTACCGTTTTGGATCGACCATCACCACCAGAAGGTCCATTGGAAATTTCCGAAGTTACAAAAGAATCCTGTAAACTTAAATGGCGTCGACCAAAAGACGATGGTGGTTCGGAAATCATACGTTATCAATTGGAAAAAATGGATGTTTCACGTGGTTCATGGACTGAATGTGGATCATCCACTGACCTAACGTTTAAAGTAACGAAATTGATTCATAAAAAACAATATCAATTCAGAGTGATGGCTGTCAATGAAATTGGTGAATCCGAACCATTGGAAGGAACGGATATTATTACGGCGAAAAATCCATTCGATGTTGCTGAACAACCAGGACGACCAGTGGTCAAAGATTGGGGACCAAATCATGTTGATCTGGAATGGACTGCGCCATTGGATGATGGTGGTTGTCCAATCACTGGTTACGTAATTCAGAAAAAAGAAAAAAATAGTCCATTCTGGACGAAAGCTGCCAATGTGCCGGGCAATCAAACAAAAGCTACAGTACCTGATCTTCGTGAAGGTGTTGATTATGAATTCCGTGTGATTGCCGTTAATAAGCAAGGTGATTCAGAACCAAGTGAACCAAGTGATATGGTTACATGTAAACATCGAAACTTGGCACCCAAAATCCTAACACCGTTGAAAGAAATTCGATTAAAACATGGCCAGAAATTAGAAGTGACCATAGATTTTGTTGGTGCACCACCACCCACAGTTGAATGGATTGATGCAAAATCCGGTAAACCTGTGGAATCAAATCAACGACTAACCGTTTCGAATTTTGATGATAAAACTATATTGACCATAGTGGATACAAAACGTTCAGATAGTGGTGATTATAAATTGAAACTGACCAACGTGAATGGCAATTGTGAAGGTATATTACCGGTGGTCATTATGGATAAACCATCACCACCAGAAGGACCATTAGAAGTGAAAAATATTGATGCAGATAATGTTGATTTGAAATGGCGTCCACCAAAAGATGATGGTGGTTGTCCACTGACAGGATATTTGATTGAAAAACGGGATAAAACAACTGGTGGTCAATGGGTACCTGCGGTTATTAATGTTCCGGCTACAGCGACTGAAGCAAATGTGGGAAAATTGATCGAAGGTCATGAATATGAATTCCGTATAATGGCTGAAAATTCGGAAGGTTTGTCCGAACCACTTAAAACCGATCGGCCGGTAAAAGCTCGAGCTCAATTTAGTCGGCCAGATGCACCTGGACAACCGGAATTGGTTGATTCAGATCGAACATTCATAACAATAAAATGGCCACCACCAAGATCAGATGGTGGATCGCCAATCACTGGTTATGATGTTGAACGTCGTGATGTCAAATCTGGTCGTTGGATTAAAGTGAATAAATTCCCAGTTACAGGAGAACGTTGTTATACTGATGATCAAGTTACTGATGGTCATCAATATGAATATCGTGTTCGTGCTATTAATCGTGCTGGACCAAGTGAACCAAGCATACCATCCAAACAGCTGACAGCTAAACCGTTGAAAGAAGCACCACGTTTGGATCTAAGTGGATTACGCGGTAAAACAATTCGTGTACGTGCAGGTGATCCATTGGAAATTGTCATACCAATGAATGGTGCACCAACACCCGTGGTAGAATGGCAAATCAATGGACAACCAATGAAACCAACTAATCGTATTGAAACTGCAACTAAAGATGAATTGACATGGTTGAAAATCCCAGTTTCACAACGCACTGATTCGGGAACTTATAAAATTACGGCTAAAAATCCTTATGGTGAAGATTCGGCAAATATCGAAGTTTTGGTTTATTCAGCACCATCTGCACCACGTGGTCCGCTGGAACATTCAAACATAACAGCACAATCAGTTGAACTGACATGGCGTAAACCTGAAGATGATGGTGGTGCCGAAATCATTGGATATTCCGTTGAAAAATGTCAATTTGGTAGTGATGTATGGCTGCCGGCTGGTTATTCATCGGCAACAACATTAACGGTAAAAAATTTGGATGAAGGACGACAATATAAATTCCGTGTACGGGCAGAAAATATGCATGGTCTTTCAGAACCACTGGAAAGTGCCAAACCTATTACAGCCAAAAATCAATTCGATACACCTGATGCACCTGGTCAACCACAAATCCTAGATTATGGACCGACATTTGCACAGCTGAAATGGACACCGCCATTATCCGATGGTGGACGTCCAATTCAAGGTTATTTGGTGGAAAAACGTGAAAAAAACCAAACCGATTGGACAACAGTGAACATGATGAATCCATCACCGGGTACTGAATTTACTGTCAACAATCTGATTGAAGGTCGATCATATGAATTCCGTGTTATAGCTGTGAATGAAGGTGGTAAAGGTAAACCATCAAAACCTTCGGCTATGATGACAGCACGTGATCGAAAATATCCACCTGATGCACCAGATATGCCACGTGTCGATAAAATTACTAAAGATTCTGTAACGCTAACATGGCGTAAACCAATCAATGATGGTGGATCGAAAATTACCGGCTACATTGTTCAAAAACGACCGAAAAACGGTAAAGATTGGATGAATGCAACGAAATTTCCATGTTCGGATACACGATTTACCGTTGCCGATTTGACTGAAGGTGATGAATATGAATTCCGCATAATAGCGGTAAATGATCAAGGTGAATCACCACCAAGTAAACCATGTCCGATGGTTCGTGTTGAAGAACAACCAAATAAACCTTGCATCGATGTTGGTTCGGTTAAAGATATTACCGTAAAAGCTGGTCAAGATTTTTGTATCGATATTCCATTCACTGGTTTTCCACGTCCATCGGCAACATGGTCTTTGAATGATATGGAAATTCTCGATACAGATGCACGTTTCACTTTCGGTCTAACCGATACGAATGCAACACTTAGCTGTCGAGGCGCAAAACGAGAATATACTGGCCGTTATACAATAATGTTGAAAAATCCTTCTGGTTTTGATACCTGTACATGCAATGTTCGTGTGTTGGATCGTCCACGTCCACCAATAAATTTCCATTGTGATGAAGTGGACGGGGAATCATTAACATTGAAATGGTCACCACCAAAAGATAATGGTGGTGATGAAATTACCAATTACGTTCTCGAAAAACGTGAAGCCGGAACCAACGTTTGGACCAAAGTTAGCAGTTTTGTACATGGAACTGCATTCAGGGTTAAAAATCTTACCATTGGACGATCATATGATTTCCGTGTGGCCGCTGAAAATCAATACGGGGTGTCAGATTTTACCATGACTGATGAACCGATTCAAGCTCGTTACGCATTTTCAACACCAGGACGACCAGGTACACCAAGAGCTGTTGATTCAACACCCGATTCAATAACGCTAACTTGGACACGGCCGAGAAATGATGGTGGATCACCAATTACAGGTTATGTTCTGGAAAAACGTAAAGTAGGCGATACACAATGGTCAAAAGCAACTGGTGCCATTAATCAGATTACGGAAACAACATTTAAAGTACAAAATTTACAACCAAACCAAGAATATGAATTTCGTGTTGCTGCTGTTAATCTAGCTGGTCGTGGTGATTATAGTGATACAAGTGACCGTATTCGCGCACAATATCCACCATCACCACCCAAAATTCCAGCCGATTTCCGTCTGAAGGATATTGTTGTCCGTGCTGGTCAAGAATTCCGTTTGACAGTACCGTTAGCAGTTGGTTCTCCAATACCAAATGCAGAATGGTTTTATAATGAACAACTAATCTTACCAGATGAGCGAATGTATTCGGAAACAAATGCAGAATTTACCGTTTTATTGAATAAAAAATCCAAACGTAATGATAGTGGACGATATACATTACGCCTAACAAATTCTGAAGGTAGTGATTCAACATCATGTCGTGTATTGGTTGTTGATGTTCCTGGACCACCACAAGGACCGCTAGAATGTTCTGATATAACAACAGAATCATTGTCGATTCGTTGGTCACCACCATTAGATGATGGTGGTTCACCTGTAACCAATTATGTTTTGGAACGTCAAGATCAACAGGATAAACAAAAACAATGGATTCGATGTTCGGCATTCATTCGAAATTGTCATTTCGAAGTAATGGGATTGGAAGCCAATCACCTATATCATTTCCGTGTTTGTGCTGAAAATCAATATGGCCAAGGTGAAACAATTCAAACGGATAAACCAGTGAAAGCTTGTTATCCATTTACCGTACCAGATCCACCCGGTAAACCAACCGTAATGGATACTGAACGTAATAAAGTGCGTCTATCATGGGAAAGACCTTTGCATGATGGTGGATCCAAAATTCAAGGTTATTCTGTGGAATTTATGGATCCAAGCGATGGCGAATGGATGGTCGCTAATATGGAATTGATTAAAGGAACAACCACATATACAGTTACCGGTTTGATCAACGACCGAGAATATAAATTCCGTGTCAAGGCAAAAAATTTGGCCGGTTATTCACGGCCAAGTCCCGATTCTGGTTTGGTATCGATGCGTGCTGGTAGCGGTGTACCTTCGGCACCACGTGATTTACGTGTGCAAAAAGTTGGTCGCAATTATGTTGATTTGAAATGGGAACCACCACGTTCAGAAGGTGGATCTCGAATTACCGGTTATCTGGTTGAACGAAAAGAAGTCGGCGGCGGACAACATTGGTTCAAAGTTAATGAATATGGTTGTCTTGATTGTCAATATACGGTTTTGAATTTACCTGAACATTCGGAATATGAATTCCGGGTTTCGGCTATCAATGCAGCTGGACAATCCGAACCAGTTTACACTACATCACCGGTTAAAATTGAAGAATTCGCTGAAGGTTCTAGGCCAGAATTTGTACGAAAACTGATACCGAAAAGTATAAATCTTCATACGGAAATAACATTTGAATGTGAAGCAACTGGCCGACCATTACCAACTGCACGTTGGTTTAAAAATGGCCGTGAAATTAGCGCCGGTTTTGGTGGTGGACGTTATAAAACTTATGAAACTGATGAAGGTGTTTTCAAACTGGTCATTTTCGATGTTCAAGAAGGTGATGATGGGGAATATCAATGTGAAGCATCCAATGCATATGGTTCAGTTCGAACAATGGCACCATTGAAATTGGCTGAGGCACCGGAAATTTTAAGATGTCCAAATGAAATCAACCTAGTCGAAAATGATAATGGAAAAATTAAGATATTCTTCTCGGGTACTGTTCCGGTTGAAGTTTCCCTCAGTAAATCTGGTCAAACATTATCCGAAGATGATGGTCATCATTTGAAATATGTTGTTTTCGATGATTATGTTGTCATTTATATTCGTGATGTAAAGAAAAATCTAGACGAAGGACAATATCAGATACAGGTGAAAAATGATTCTGGTCAAGCAACGGCATCGTTCCGCGTTGTGGTTACCGGATTACCTGATCAACCGACCGGACCAATTGAAATGGGTGAAATTCAACGAAATTCCATACGAATATCATGGCGTCCACCTAAAAATGATGGTGGTAAAAAAGTTACACATTATATTGTTGAGCGTAAAGAACTGACAACATTGAATACATGGATAACTGCAACAAGTTGTTGTAGAGAAACTTATTTTACGTTGCAAGGATTGAATGAAGGTGGTGAATATATGTTCCGTGTGTTTGCATGCAATGAAAATGGTCAATCTGTGAAAGCGTTGGAATCAGAATCACCTGCCATACCAAAATTACCATTCAATCCACCTTCACGACCAGGTCAACCTGACGTGCAATCAGTTGGTAGTGATTTTGTCAATCTAAGTTGGACAAAACCAGAATCGGATGGTGGTTCAAGAATTCAAGGTTATTTGGTTGAACGTTGTGAGACTGGATCTCAACATTGGCAACGTTGTAATGTTGCACTTTGTCATGCAACCCAGATTAATATTGCCAATTTGATCGAAGATCGTGAATATGAATTCCGTGTGTTTGCTGTCAACGAAGCTGGTTTATCCGAACCATCAAGTAATACACGACCAGTACGAGTAAAAGATCCTGACCAAGCAATCCCACCAGAATTCATTGAACCATTACGTACAGTCATGGCCATAGAAAATCGTTCAGCAGAATTTCGTTGCACGGTTACAGGTGTACCGAAACCAACAATTACCTGGTCAAAAGGTGTACGTGAATTGTTTGATGGTGGAAAATTCACATTGTTACGTGATGGTGATACCTACATTTTGCGTATCGATAATGTTTATGGTGAAGATGCAGATGAATATTGTTGTAAAGCAAGCAACAAAGCTGGAACACGAAGTTCGCGTGCAGAATTGTTGATTAAGACAGCACCAAAATTGCATGTACCACCAAGATTCCGTGAAGCAGCATGTTTTGAACGTGGTGAAAATATTCAATTGAAAATCCCGTTTACTGGTTATCCAAAACCAAAAATCCGTTGGACAAAGGATGGTGAAGAAATTGAAAAAGGTGATCATTTTGATTTGATTGTCCAGGAACGACATGCAATCCTAGTGATTCGAAATACATCCAAAGAAGATAATGGACCATACCAGATTCGTGCTGAAAATGAATTAGGTTCAGATTCGGCCATCATTAATGTAATGATATCGGATCGACCAGATCCACCAAGATTTCCAATTATTGAATCAATTGGTGATGATTTTGTTCAACTGACATGGAAAGCACCGCTATGGAATGGTGGTTCGCAAATTACAAATTATGTAATTGAAAAACGTGAAGCCGGTATGACAAGTTGGATGAAAGCAGCAACAACCCGCTTTCAACTACATCAAATAACCCAGCTAAGTCCAGGTAAAGAATATGAATTCCGTGTATTTGCGGAAAATGTTTACGGCCGTTCAGAACCATCGGAAACGACGCAGAAAGTTTCGGTAAAAGGTGAACAATTAAAACGACAAAAACGTACTGGATGGGAATTGGATGCTCAAGGCAACAAGATTCGTGGTCGTGGTGATCGTCAATCAAATTATGATCAATTTGTATCGGATTATGATTCAACATCATGGGCAATGCCAGTGGAAATCAAAACCAACGAATCCGTTTATGATTATTATGATATTCTGGAAGAAATCGGTGTCGGTGCATTCGGAGTTGTTCATAGATGTCGCGAACGAAAAACTGGTCGGATATTTGCAGCGAAATTCATTCCGGTATCACATCCGTTGGAAAAATCCATAATACGAAAAGAAATTGATATTATGAATCAATTGCATCATTCACGATTGATTCGTTTGAATGATGCATTCGAAGAAGACGATGAAATGATTTTGATTTATGAATTCATGTCCGGTGGAGAACTGTTTGAACGTATTACCGATGATAATTATACAATGACCGAAGCTGAAGCAGCAAATTACATGCGACAAATTATCGAAGGAATCCGACATATGCATGAAAAGAATATTATACATCTCGATATTAAACCAGAGAATATTATGTGTCAAAAACGTAGCGATAACCGAGTCAAGATTATTGATTTTGGTTTGGCAACTAAATTGGATCCACATGAAGTGGTAAAAATATCAACCGGAACAGCAGAATTTGCTGCACCCGAGATTGTCGATCGAGAACCAGTTGGAACGTATACTGATATGTGGGCTTGCGGTGTACTAACGTATGTGCTGCTTAGTGGCTTGACTCCATTTGCCGGTGATAATGATATCGAAACATTGAAAAATATTAAAGCATGTCATTGGGAATTTGACCGAGATGCATTTGCGAATATATCCGAAGCGGGAAAAGATTTCATCAGTCGTTTGTTAACAAAAGCCAAAGAATCACGTATGACTGCACATGAATGTTTGGAACATCCATGGCTAAAACAATCGGACATACCCGGTACGGATACAATATCTTCACGTAAATATCAAGATATACGTGATCGAACACGTGCTAAATATCCAACATGGGACCGAGCATTAGTCCCAATAGGTCATATCGCAAATTATAGTTCATTGCGTAAACTTCAAGATGAAAAATATCGTCTGCATGATGTTCTATTGGATCGTCGTGAAATGTTACCCCGTTTTGTACTGAAACCACAATCAACAATCGCTTATGAAGGACAATCAGCAAGATTTTTATGTCGTGTTATTGCAGCAGCACCACCAACATTATCATGGTATCGGGAAGGAATGGAACTGCGACAATCGGTAAAATTCATGAAACGTTATGCGGAAAATGATTATCAATTTGTAATTAATCGTTGTCGTTTGGATGATCGTGGTGAATATATTATCCGAGCCGAAAATCATTATGGATCTCGGGAGGAACCAGTTTTTCTAAATGTTTTGCCCGTACCGCATGAAGAATTTAAACCACCAATAACCGAAACGGAACCAATTAGACGTCGTCGACAAGAACCACCACGAATGTTATTAGACGAACCGAATGATTCGGCTCCACATTTTACATTTTTGTTACGTACACGTATCATTCAAATGGGTATTGGTGTTCGGTTACTGTGTTGTTTGAATGGAAAACCATGGCCCCAAATCAAATGGTTAAAAGATGGTCGTGAATTATCGAAAACAGATTATACAATGAAATCTGCGGATGGTGTTGTCACATTGGATATTGTATCCTGTCGTATGGAAGATGCGGGTAAATATACTTGCATTGCGACCAATTCATTGGGTACGGCCGAAACATCTTGTGCATTGGTTGTCGAACCTAAACGTATCGTATCATCACCATCACCATTATGTCTGTCACCAAGATCTGGCACACCTATACCTGGCCTAACCAGTTCGTCGGTTATGTCACCGATGGAAGCCTATTATAAAGAAGGTGGTGCATCAACTACAATACGTAATTCGATGCGTGAAGCACGTGCATCCAGTATGTATACAAGTCGTCGTAAAGATTCTCTTTCCGAATATTCATCGACATCTGGAAGTTCGGCATACCGTACTACGTATCATCATCAATCATCGATAACATCATCCCGTGATCGTTATGTTTCAACAACTCGAACATCATCATATGATAAACATGATAGTCTTTCAAGGTTACGGTCACAATCACCAACATCGTATCATCATCAATCATCAATACGTTCACCAATACGTTCATCTTATCTAAGTGGACGACAATCACCATCATTACCAACAACATATATGCCACCATCAAGTACATCATCGTATCGATCATCAACACCGGTTACTACAAGCCGTTTACCGAGCTCTGCTTCAAGATATACGCCTGGCGTATCCTCATCATCTGCATCCCGTCCTCGAAAGTCGATAGCAACAATCGATAGTAAGTATTGTTAGATTTGATTCGTTATTCGTTATCTCTAACTAACCAAATTCCTCTATTTCAACAGATAATTTTAGTCAACCATCTTTCGTTACAAAATTAACTGATCGTAAGATCGGTGATGGCGAACAATTAAAATTACAACTTGAAGTGAAAGGTGAACCTGAACCAAAAATCGAATGGTTTAAGGATGGCCGACGATTACAATCATCAGATGTTGTTGATTTAAAATATCGTAACCGTATGGCAACATTGATTATTGAAGAAGCATTCCCTGAAGATGAAGGTCAATATGAATGCGTTGCAAGTAATTCGGAAGGTACATCGCGAACAAAATGTTTTATTCAAATCAAACGTAAGTGTTATTCGTTTTGTGTAATGTTTTTACATAACTAAACATCATTCAACTAATGTATAGCAATGGATAAAGCAAAAACAGCCAAACCAAGTTCATCAACGGCCAAGAAAGCGCCAAGAATTGTTCAACATATTCAATCGATAACGGTAAACGATGGACAAACAGCAACATTACGTTGCAACATTAAATGTAAGTTTTAATCAAATGTCAAATGCCGAATCATTGTTAATCAAACAAATGTCAATTTAGGCGAATCACCATTCGATGTTATATGGTTACATAATGGTAAAGAAGTGAAACAAAGCAAAGATTTCAATATACGTCAGTCTGGCGATAATTTTGAATTGGAAATTGCCGAATGTTTACCCGAAGATTCTGGTACTTATACATGTGAAGCATTCAATGATTCGGGTGAAACATTTTCAACTGGAACTATTCTGGTTAAAGGTAATTTCCTATTAATCAATTTTTTTAAACAACAGTATTTTAATCGGGTTTTTATTTCTCAAACAACATAGTTCCAAGCGATGATCAACAAGGATGTGGTATCGTAGAGTTTCCACGTTCAATAACCAGTATGATTGGTAATAAAGCAACATTTCAAATTGAAACCGATACAGATATCGATAAAGGTAAGTTTGCTTTTCGGGAAAGTTTTCCAAAAACAACATTTAATTTTGTTTTTCCTGAAAATTTTCAGTTGAATGGTTACATGATTCACGGCCAATTGATCAAGATTTACAAACACAATCAGAATCACCGAAACAATTTAAATTGATTGTATCAAGTATCCGCGAGAAAGATATTGGTCAATATACGGTACGATTAACGGATAAAAAAGCCCGAACAACAAACTTAGCATTTGCATTGGTTATTATCAAAGAATAATCGTTTGACGCTTACGTTTATCGTTTTAAATTTTTATACGCAAATTTCAAACACTAGATTATTAATTAAGGCACACTGATTTCAAATCGAAACAAAAGAAAATCTAAAAGAAAGGCACTTACACACACTCACTCGCACACACACACACACTGAATCGCATATTATATAATAAAATTTAATTTATTTCAAAAAAAAAATTCGTAATGAAAAAATTTGGTAATTTGGTATTTGGTAGGTCATTATTATATACAAACAAACAATCAAAACAAAGAATTTTTCAAAGTTTTTCATCATCAAATTCTGAATCGAATGCTTGATTTGAATAATCATTCCGTAATGGAGGGGATGGTGATGGGTGTTGTATGACCAATTTCGGTATCGGTGATGATGTTGGTTGGATTTGATGATTATGTTGTTTGGCTCCATTTGTTATTGTTTTGGCATTTGAAGTTTGTTGTTGACGTTGTTCCAATTGATCTAGATCATCGCGACTTAAATGTTCCACAATCGCAGCACCGAATGCATCACCCAACACATTGATTGGTGTTCGAATACGATCAACCAACCAATCGATAATAAAAACCAGCGATATATCTTCTGGTGGTAATCCTAATGCATTCAATACGATAACCATGGTAATTAGGCCAGCCTTTGATCAGACCAAAAAAATCAAAATTAATCACGTTTTGTCTGTCATCAATCAATCAATCAAAATCAAACAAATTTTACCTGCGGAATGCCAGCTGCACCAACTGAAGCTGCCGTTGCTGTAATGCTAACGATTAAAACTCTGGCAAAATCCATATCAACTTCACGTGATTGTGCAATGAAAATGGCTGCAACAGCTTCATACAATGCTGTTCCATCCATATTAATGGTGGCTCCGATTGGTACAACAAAGCGTACAACATTACGATTTACATGGTTTTTCTCTTCCAAACATGCTATGCTTGATGGTAATGTTGCTGTACTTGATGCCGTACCGAACGCAGTTAATAATGCTTCACCTTGATTCAGTATAAATCTATAAGGGTTTTTCCTTACGATTAGGTAATAAATTCCCGGCAGAATTAGTAATCCGTGTATCAATATGCCAAGAATAACGGTAAAAGTGAAAAAACCAACCGAACGAAATAATTGACCAGCATCATCAACGGCAATAATTCTTGGTAGAATTAGAAAAGCAACACCGATAGGTGTTGCTTTTATCACTTGATTGGTAATCTGCAAAGTCATTTCACTTAAATCATTAAATACGTCCAGCAATAATGGTCGTCCCAAACGTGACAATTTCCCGACAAATATTCCCGTAACAATGGATAGTGTCACCAAACCTAAGACATTGATTCCGCTAGAATGACCGGATTTGATTTGCCATTTACTTAGGTCAGTTTCATTCGAATTGGATGACGGTGGAACTAAATTCGTAGCATATTGAGCAAAAGCAGTTTGAACAACATTATCTGGAATAAGATTCCTATAAGGGATGCCTCGTTGATCAGCCAATAATCGATAATCAATCGATAAACTTACCTGATTAAATCCAGAACCGTATCTGGCGTGGTAATTTTTCGTGATAATTTTGGTGCTTCACCACCGATAGATGCCGCCTCTTGCTCTACTTTACTTGAACCAGGATGTAATGTTAGAACGAGAAAAATTCCCAATGAAATAGCAATGGCAGTTGTTGCAGCATAATAGATTAGTGCACGTTTACCAATTTTACCGGAAATTTTCGCATCCAATGAACCAAGTGCTGAAACCAAACTCGATACAATCAATGGAATTGTAAGACATTTTAAGGCACGAAGAAAAAGTTCACCAGGAAATTCCAGATACATTAATTGACGATCATTCCAACGATTTTGGCTGCTTGCCCGTACAATAATACCGACAAGGATGGCCGCTAAAACACCGGCACATGTACATATGGGTAAAAGGTTTTCCTTTAACAAGGAACGCATCTTTTGTTTTCGACTTTCTCGAGTCATTTTTTTTGGATCGATTAATTTTCACTAATGATAATGATGACAATAACAACCAAAACGATAGCACACACAACCAATCAACAACAACACAACAATCATTCAATATTCACTCTGTGTTTGTAAATGACGATTTCACTTTACTTGCGATGGGGAAAATTCAGGATTTCAATCAATCAATCAAAATGTCAACAAACTTGATGAACAAATCACAATTGATCGGATTTCCGGAATTTGAATTTTGCTGGAGATTCCGTTTTTGGAAAAAAAACGAGAAAGAGAGAGAGAGAGACACGCACACAAAGAGAGAGACAAAATTTGATTTTAATCGTAGTCGTCGGTTGATAAGAATCGATTGCCAATCGATTTATATAACGCCAAAATCACCAAAAATCATCATCATCATCATGGAAATTCAACCGTTATCTTGGTAATGTTTGTACAGTATTGATTTGATTCGATTCGAATCGATTTTTGATATGATTTTTGTTTTGTTTTGGACACTAACCACTACACAAAAAATTCGATGATAATGAGGATGATGATGGCATCCAACGCAACACACAACTATCCATGAATCTTCCATAACCACAGCACACAACACAGGCAAAAATGGATTCGAATCTTTTTTCTTCGGAAAAAAATCAAGTTTGCCTTGCCTTGCTGCTGCATATCTGTTGGTGTGTAAATTTCTCTCTCGTTGTCTGTCTGTCCATGCTGTATTATCTTTATGTGGCCAATTCATTCGAAATTTCGTAAATCGACATTCAAAATTTGCAACAAACAAAAAATGTTGTTTTAAAGTTGAAGAAAAGGAAAAAATTATCCATGTCGATTGTGGATGGTGGTTGATGTAGTTGTGTTTTGTTTCAAATCATTATCATTCAAAAAAATATTGTTTTTGTTGTTGTTATTGCTGTGATAATAGCATTGATAAATTTCTCTTTCGTTAATGAAAATTTTTTAATTGACCACGTAGCTATCAAATGATAAAAGAAGGTGGCTAATTTGACATTCATCAATTAGATACACGAAAACTAAGTCTGACTAATTGATATAAACAACAATCACATGATTTGTTGTCAAACAAAAACAAAAACAATGCATTCTCATTGCAAAGAAAGCTTACCTGGCATATCTTGACAATGATGGTGGTGTTGGCAATCAATGCAAATCATTATCATTATTATTATTTTCATTTGATGATATTCACATTCAAGAATATGTCTCTCCTATGGACATCGACCATTCTCATTCATCATTCAGGATGGCTACTTGTTCATTGCTGCTACCACAATTTACAATAATCCTGTTGTTGAAGAAATCCTGTTTGGAGCAATTTCAAGACAAACGAAATTCGATTGATTTTGATCATGAAATGTAATGAAACAAAACAAGTTCCATTCAATTCGATCAATTCGATTTTGATTGAAAAACATGAATCAAAATGTGTGTAATAGGATGGGTTTTTTTCACTCAAAAAATTATTTCCCAATAAATTGGCTTAGTCATATAGTCATCAACCTAACCTCACTCAACTATGAATCACAGTCATAGTCATAGTCATAGTCATCAACCTAACCTCACTCAACTATGAATCA